ACATTATCGAGTTCGTTTGGTCCAGTGGAAGCGGATGATTTAGTTCCACCACCAGTGCCGGTCAGACCTGGCTCAGTTGTTGATAGTGAAACAAATGAAATATATGATATACCACCAAATCATGAGATCTATGATGTACCTCCCTCTGCGATACACAGTGACAACGCTATACGAGATGAAGATACTTACGATATACCCCCATCTCATCGTGCAGATATATCACAGTCAGGCATACTTGATGACAATGTTTACGATGTACCTCCATCATCAATTCGTAACGAGAGTTCTTACGATATTCCCCTGTCATCCATACGAAATGAGAATGCTATTGATGTACCCCAATCATCTATACGTAATGAGAGTTCTTACGATATTCCCCCATCGAATCAGTTTGCAAATAATTTTAGAGAACGTTCTTCATCAACAGATGAACTAGCCCATAAGTTCACCGAAATCTCAATGAAAAATCAGTCTGCTTCACGCAGTGATGGTAGCAATGTTCTAAACGACTTTGACCAGCATGTGCCTCCTCGGCCTCCTCAAAGAGTTGACAAAGTAGATGATGAATATGTTTATTTAGCGGAGGAAACCTATATAAAAACATCTTCCATGGGTGCATACGACTTTGTGCCAGCGCCACGCCCAGCACAGATGGATATTACAAATGTTCCAATAATTCCTCCTCCGAGGCCGCCCAAACCATCACAGACTGACAATGGGCATAGTCCAAAGATTCCAAGCACGCCGCCACCAAGCTTTGATGACCGAGTCTTTCTTAATGACAGTACTGTGAATCATACATTGCATGACAGAGAACTAGCAAACAAGCTTGATATTTTAAAAAAACATGATGGAGCGTCAACTGATAGTAGCAATGAAGAGGACGACTACGATGTACCTCCCAGTAATAAACCTGCAAATTACCTGGACACATTAATACCCTTACAACACCCGGGCAACGACTATTCAAACATAAGTCATGAACGGCCGGGTTATGTCGATATGACTGGTGGATGCAACCCTCATATCACAGATACGTACGTACCTGCCGGTAATGCAGAAGTGTTGCCCATGGACACTACGTGCACATATACCCCAATGGCTGGAATTAGACATCCTACTCCTCCGCCTGCGGCGCAGCTACCAATGGACAGGAGACCCCAAACCATGATAGTTCCCCCTCCCATCAATAGAGACAACAAGCCTGGTAGAAAGTCAATGGGGGATGTCATGACGAAGTGTAAGTAGTGTCGATGTTGCATGCATTTGTTCCGAACCTTTATTCGTGTGTGTTCCATTTGAAATGTGCAAGTGTCTGATGCTCTCATTTTTGGCAAGCATTAGATAGAAAATTTTCTTGAGTTTACCGGGGTAGTATATATTTGACCAAGAATAAAGGTATGCAGCTTCCACAAATGCAAATAAGTGAGTCTGCGAAAGAACTACATGTAGTTGATTTATTCTCCTCGTACCGCTTTTGCAGTGTGCTTGCCTATTCTCAAATCATTTATGACATCTTTTGGATACAGTGATCTTGCTCATTCTGTTTTGTGATGCCATTGGCTAGAAATATTATCAATTCACACATTCTATTTAATGGGATCTTTACTGCTTATCACTGTACATGGACATTTGAGGTGCATATCTTTATCTTATAAATCCTAGATTTTACTGATGTTGCACCAAAATAGGACTTTATAGCTTGTATGGGAAAGGGTATAGCATACCATCATGTACTTATTCACCATTTTGTTAACCCATTAAACATGCAAATGAAAATTTCACAAAATAAATAACAGATTTTCAGAAAAAAATGTGGTCAAGACTTATAACCAAGTAAAAAATTAACAAAGAAATTAAATTCGAAATTGCAAAATGTTGCACAAAAATGTTGCACAAAAATGTTGGCAGAAAACGCTATTTGAACGGTTAATAGCTTCAATGTACTTTGAATACTAATTAGGTAAATATATTCTGGACTGTCATTTTCCTCCCATAATGCATCACAACTGGACATTGTTTTAATAACTGATTGCTCATTTATTACATAGCTATCCCACCACCACTCACCTTGATTGGTACAGGAAGTTACTATGCGTCAAAGGACGGCATGTTTATACAGTCGCCTAGAACCAGGAGTTTCAGGAAAGCAGAGCTTTTACCGTAAGTTTTTTTGTGTACATTTATCTCTTTTATGTAATAGGTCATGACTTAGGTGATGTATTGTTTTAAAATTATATTGTCTGCAAAACTTAGTTGAAAGCTCTTTAAATTTCAAGTAACGTGGTCAAAATCAGAATGCCATACTGATTAAAAGCTTGTCAACTAAGTTTTTGTTTGTCTTCGCCACAATAAATTCAATCATGCATTGCTGATCGAATTGTGATTTAGGTGTGTAATACAACTTAAACCTGGAGGTATGTAATATTCAAAGTTTGTTCGGTCACAGTGGTAAACATGAAATTTTAGTAAATGACCTAAATTCAAAAGTGACTAATCTAACGTCGATATAGGAATCAACTTAAGACTCAATTTTATAAACATGTTCATGTGGCCATACAACTCAAAGTCTGAGGCTCATAGAAACGTTTGTGAGATGACATATTTAATGGTCAACATATTGGAAACCAATTTGTTCTCTTTATTCGGTCACAAACAGCTACTTTATTATCAACTGTATTCCATTTTCCCCACTTTATAAATATATGTGTATCTGATCTACAAGGACTGTTATTCTCTGAAAGTTTTAACCTGTCTCCCTCTAACTGACAAATCAGTCAAACTGGGAGTACCACATGACCAATTTATTCAATACCTTTTATGTGAAATGGCATCAATCAGTATGCAAATAGAATTAATCATATTTAGTCTGTCGCTGTTGCTTAATAAAGCAAATACGGTACACATGTAACTATACATAATGGCTATTATCTTAATATGTCACGGCAGGCTTCCTGATAACGCTAAAGATGGAGACGAACGCTGTGACACTTTGGAGAGCAGTAGCAGTTCATCTGATGGCGATGGCGCTTTAAAAGATGGCAATTACATTCAGCTACCAATGCCAGCTGATCATCAGTCGCTAGAGTTATATGTCACGCATGATCCATCGCGAACTCAAATTTATGAGGTACGTTATGATTCATTTAAAAGGTATAGGTCAAATTCTCAAATGAAAATATGTAGACGTTTTTACTGTGCTATATCGTCGACTGATAAAAATGTACACGAGGCACAAATGTTAGGCGTTGACATTGACATTGTCTTTGTTGTATTTTCTTGTGGTTGCATTTACTCATGGAAATACTTGCCTAATTATTTCAAACATAACATACACATTAAAACACAAACAGTGCACACAATTATTCACTTAAAAAACTTTTACATTTTCCCCAATTTATTACTTTGATTTAAAAAGTCATCAATACGAAAGTGGAATTGAATCACTGTGTCAGTCAGAATATTATATCTATGCTGTTTTTATTCTGAGGAGAAAAATGAATAATAAAGGAGGGGGGGTTCGTCACCTGCGTATACGCGGGAATCTAGTCTTAAGCGACGATAACCACACATGCTAGAAACACAAAGCCTCATGGGTAGACACTTGTTTGTAAACAATGACACGCTATGGCCATCTGACGAACGCTCAGGTGACGATTCCCCGCTTTAAAATACTGCAAAATGTCCTGAAATTGTTTGTTTTTCTTCAGTTACAATAACTCAAACAATTTTATCAATCACTATTACATTTCAATCAATCTTAATGTGACTAGTAAGTGTACATTTTTAATTATTTACTTAATATTTATGTTAAAATATTGATCCAATGCATTGTATGTATATTTTGCAGAATTCCAGGGAACTACAGCGACAAGCACCTCCTCCGCCACCAGGTGCACCGAGCAGGAAAAGTAAGAAAGAACCACCAAAGAAAACCAGTGAGGTTCAGTATATTGATCTTGCGTTAGACGAGCCCAGTGACCCTCAGCCGCCTCCAAGACCCAGAGTGCCAGCCTCGCCGGAAACAGAATACACTGTTTTAGATTTGGAGAAAACTCAAGGCCTCCAAGCAGCACTAGCACAACGGACAGAGGAGCTCAACAAATCATAGATTTCAACCTTTTCACCACCAGATACCTTGCCCAAATTTATTAGCAATTTCTTCTTTTATATTCTTCAATATGTTTGGAGCCAACTGACAAAATTTGAGTAAATTTTCAGTTTTTACTAAAAAAAATTGGCTATTTTTGTCCCAATCTTCTGAAGGAAAGTGCAGACTATAAACAGGACTATTTTGTGAATTTGTGATGAAAAGAGGGAACTGGTGGTGAAAAGGTTAATCAAGCTACATCATGTTAAACACTGTTGGGTGAGATTCGAAGAAAATTGCAATATTCATAGTCATCTTTCCCTACTTGTTTAACAGATGTGACTGACTGTTTTACTAGACGAAACATGCATTTATTGTCTATTATAACAATAGAACAATCAACAAAGCTATAAGTTTCAGATTATTTAGACATTTGTGAGTTGTGTACATAGTTTATCTAGGCTTTCTCCCAAGAAGTTTGTAAGCTGCAAGTTGCAATCACTTTAAGGATTAAGAAAGTCATCACCGCTGTAGGTGAGCACGAGATGCATTTTTCAAAAATGTTTCCAAGGACAATGTTGCTGACTGTGCCTATGTCTTGTGCATGTGATTGAATGTATATTTCCCAGTTGAGTTGAAGCAATATATGCATGGCAAAATTTGATACGTCGAAAATACCTGTGTACAAACAAGAAGCTTTCTGGTTGGTTAGGTGACTCGTATTACCAGGCTGTTGCCAATTTTGTCCATTCCTTGGAGATGCCGCTACTTAAACACACACTGTCAGATGAAGAAGTATTCCTCGACAGGTTTGGGTATTGCAATGGATTTGTATACTTTTTATTGGTTAGAAGAAAACTCCAAATGATCCAGAAGCATCAGGGAAAATGTATTGTACATGAAGCAGAAATGGAAACATTTGGAAAACGATAAAACGTTGTTTTGCTGGATAACACAGCACACATCGTCGTGTCGGACATTGCCACGCTGCAGTCTCTAGCTGTCAATCATTTTGTACCCAGGTGTTCCAGTACCTTGTGCAAGACCTTTTTTTTTTATTACAGATATATGTATCATAAATGTATATTCACAAATTTTGAGAATACAAAATGCTGCGAAAGGAACATTTTACCTGTATGGCTGATACAGTTTATTATTATTCCAATCAATTTTGCTCTGGTGATTAAGAAGTCTCATCCAGATATCCTGTGATTTTTTTTGTAAAACATTTTTTATTTTTTTCCATTTTCTGTTTTTAACACAGCCAGTTTTATTCATTTAAAAAACTGCCATTTTAATGATACTATGTAAATATTTTAGTAATATTTTTTTTAGTCCCTTGGGACGTGAAGGATCTGTCTTATCTCTGTTCAGTCACTTGTTCACTTATCCATCTTAGAGATTCATTTCCCAATTTGACTGGGTATGTATGCCCATCACCTATGTTTTGCCATCAGAACAATAATGGCTATCTGGTGGCCATCATGTTTCTTAAAATGTCATGTCAGATGCATTGTTCATTTTTATTGTAAATTGGCACTTGGATAGCACATGAGGTACTATGCCCATGATGCGATCAAACATGGTGGCCATCTTTTTTTTTATTATTTAATATTTTTTTGTGCCAGGCGACAGTTCCGGACATTGAGTGTCACTGTTGTCTCTTCTGATTTTTTTTTTTTTTCTGTATGTGCAAATTGCAAGTGCTAGTGACTACACATATTCATGTTTGGGACTACATGACAGGGCTGTGTGGCCATCTCTCTGTCAAGTGGCAATTTATAATGCGCTATCCTGGCGTCAACCAGGCCCGGTCGAACACAAGCACCTGCGGACCTTAACCAAGGTTCCCCCAAAGTCGCATTTGTTAGTGAATGAATCTC